TAATTTTTTATTATCTAATATAAAGTTCAAAAAATGTTTTTTTTTATATTATTGTTAAATAATGTTTTTAGTACTCTAATATTTTCTAAAACGTTATTAACGTTTTATTTTAATTTCGGTGCCTCTTAAGCATTTATTATTGTTGTTAATTTATTATACAATTTAATGGATCCAAACAACCCTAATTACTATCAACTTGCTCAACATTTTTTTGATTTAGGTGATGATTTCATCACTAGTCCCAATTTTCAATTATTCCTCCAAAGATTTGGAAATCCGACTTCTCAAAATTTGGTTCATCAACCAACACCTCCACAAATTCCTAATGAAAACACTTATAATGAGCAACAAACTCCTACCGTTATCGAAGGGAGAAACTCTGAGTATGATGTTAGGAAAGAAGAAGTTGTTCCTGATAAACCACAATATCCTCCACTACCTCCAAGGAATCCGGGCAATCAACCACTCACTAAAGTGAGTCACATTTGGTCGGTTGTTGAGGATGAAGCTCTAAATGGGTTATACCTAAAAATAAGTGATGATGCGCTTCGTGGTACGAGCCAAAAGGCATCCGAACTTTGGCAATAAGTTCATGCAGCTTACAGTAAACTACAAGCTGAGAAACCGCATGTTCTCCCACCAAGACCTATGAGGAGTTTGGAGACACATTGGAGAAGAATGGCAGCTGATTTGCTACAGTGGACTAGTTGCTATAAGGAGGCGGGTGTAGGGAATATTTCAAGCATTACCCCAAATTTGAACCCCACTATGATCATACACTAAAGCATGGTGGCGTCCAAAGGGAAGGAAGCTAGAGCAAAAGAGTCGCCAACAAGTTTTAGGAACTTGTAAACCGTTCACAGGGTGAAGGTTACACCCCTTAACGATCCAGGAGAACGTCAACTCCAATAGGTCTGGAACCATAACTGGTAGTTCGGGGATGAAGGTACAAATCCAACCTAAAAGAGATTGAACCTGCCTTAATAATAGGCCTCTAGTTTATTCTGATCGTATTCATGTGCGCTTTCTGACTAACATGCAATCATTAGGTTTACCCTAAACCCGTTTATTCTATGTTGATTGAATATTAATGCACAAACAAAACTATTATTGGCGATCACTTGAATTATAATCAAATTAACCCTAAACAAGTTTATTAATTATCTTATTAAGCGTGATTACAAGTACCAATACCCTTTAAACATGCATAAAAGGTGTTATTAAGCAATAAATAATAACAAGCATCAAGAAAAATAATAATAATCATAATAACAATTATAATTAAAATAATCATGTTCATGTTAAAAATAAAGCATAATAAAAGCAAGATCGTAGGCATGATACTAACAAGATTAATAACAAACCCTAACATGTCACTAAACAACAAAAATCAAAGATTTAGCCCTAACATGATACTAACATGAATATTTAGAAAAGACAATAAAAGGCATCATAGAAATCATAATTGATCTAAGGAACTTATTCTTTACCCTAAACATGATACTAGGAAGATCAAAACACCCTAAAATGACACTAGGAATCATAATAACAACCTAGACATGATTTTATATCATAATAACAATAAATCAATTAAATCACTTACTTGGATTCCACGTACCTCTTTCTAATAACAAAATACACGCGTTAGTAACTTCAAAGAAAAAAAAAATTAAATAATTAAATTAAATAATTGAAATAGAGACTTGTGAGTTGTGACCAAACCCTCAGAAATTAAAACCTTTTGATTAGTGTTATTTAAGGCACTCATTTGGCTTCTTTTAGGATGAATTTCATGCTATTTTATAGCTCTTTTCTTTAGGTTTCCTTAGTTTTGTTCTTTATTTCTTCAGTTTGTGCTTTCCTTAGTTAGTTTTTTTTTTCTTTGTGCATTTCTTTGTTTATTTTGTCTTTTTCCCTTTTATTTACTTTTTTTCATGTATTTTCAGGTTATGATCGTGTTTCAAGGATTCCCGAGCCTTCCTCTCATATTTCTCATCACTTTGGATGCCTTTTACTTGTCATTTAGAGCTCAAGTTTGAAGGAATGCAAGGAGCAAGTTCATGAGATCGGTGCATGCATGCGGTGCGGGCATCATATTTGGCATGAACCCACCAAAATAGCCATTTCAAGACTTCCTACCTTAGTGTTCATCATCATCACCAAGACGAGCGCACGAGGATGAGCTATGACGAAGAAGAGGGGGGCTCCCCTGTTGCCAGGTGCGGGCGCGCTCGAGGTTGATGCGGCCGCACACCTGGGTGGCGCGGGCGCGCCTACCAGGGCTTCTGTTCCGTCCCCTTTTTCTCGCAGCCGCGCCTCTCCCTTGATGCGACCTCACCTTCCGGGGTTTCTTTCGGGACGATCTAACTAACTCTTCTTTTGTATCTTTCCTATATATAGTTTTTCCTTCTATTTTTGGGAGGAGGAGAACTCAATTAGAGAATAGATTATATCACAATTAGATCATAATTAGAGAGATTTTAGAGAGAGAAACTCTAGGTTTTTAGAGAGAGAAATTCATGGTGGATTGTTGATGATTGAAGATTTCTTCATTTCCTTTGATTTTTTTATCAAGTTTGTAAGGATTACTTTTCTTTAATTCAATCTTTAGTTTTATCTTTAGTTTTATTTCAATTGTTTTGTTGAATGTTCTAGGTTGATTGAAGTTTAATTGATTTGTGTTTGATTTTAGGTTGTTTGATTTGATCATGACGAATTTGTTGCTTAGTGTTGTTTTGATCTTAATTTCAATTGCTAGTGAGTAGATTGCTTGCTAGGGTAATGGTGAAGCATGTATGAGTAATGGATTAATGCTAATTGGGGAAAATTGATGGATTTGACTAAGTGATTAAATTGGTTGATGATCATGTGCATGTGTGTGATTAATTAAAGAGTAGCTAACTTTGATTGTTACACTAGATTGTATTGTAAGTTCACATTGATACGGACCATTGATTTGTGGCTTGCATTTAACGATTGAGGTGTCTTGTGACGTTCCTAGCAAGAGTTTATCGTAGTTGGCGCTAGTTAGACCTCTAGGAAATAGCTTGATATGCTCTTTTGGTTGCATGATTGGTCTTCCCTCTCATTGCTTGACTTAGTCACTTTGACCTCCCAATTAGTTGAATCCGTTACGATTGCATGTGGATCCTAGCCCTAGAGTTTTACATACTTGATTTCAATTCGTTGTTTAGTCATCCTTGTCCTAGTTTACATACCTACACCCTATTTTTTCGGAGTAGCTTGACTTAGGCAATAGATAATCGCCCACCGTTCCTTAGTGGTTCGACCCTCAACTTACCATTATACTTGTGTAAGGGTGTGTTGAGAGATTACAAATTTTGTTTGGCCTTGGGTAGGGGTTAGTTTCAACGACCTAGTCTCGACCCTCGTCAAAATGGCGCCGTTGCCGGGGAACGGTGTTGTGATTGTGTATTGTTGTTGAGTCTATTCCATCTTATTCAAAAACACAAAAAGATTTTTCTTCTTTCTTTTAGGCTACACTTGTAGCCGCGTTACTAAAAATTTCTTTTGAGTTTTTGCATGCATAGTAGAACTCGTGATAGGTCCTTAGTTCCTTTGGATCCGGAAATTGACAGAACTCTTTCACGAAGAAGGATAGCCAACCGATCTTTGAGCCTAAGTTTCTCAAGTGAAGAATAGTTTGAGGAAGAAGAAGAGCAAGTCATGGGAGAGAATCCAAGAGTAGCTTTGAAGGAGTTGGGAATTCTCGGTGCTTATAGGTTTGAGAGCGACGTTGCTCCACCTACAACACCGGCGAACGATTTTGAAATAAGACCGGCCATGATTACTTTGATAGAACGGAGGCAATTTAGTGGAGCCAAGAGTGAGAGCCCGTTGAATCACCTAAAGGAATTTGAGAAGTATTGTAATACTATCAAGGTGATCGACATTTCTCAAGAGTTCATTTGGCTAAAGTTGTTTCCCTTTTCTCTTATTGGTCGTGCCTTAGAGTGGTTGGATAAGGAGGTTAAGCCCAATTCCCTTAGGACATGGGATGAAGTCACAAAAGCTTTCTTGTCTCGCTTTTACCCACAAAAGAAGACGGCGGAGGCTAGAGCCTTGATCCAAGGATTCAAAGAAAGGCCTAATGAGAATCTCTATGAAGTATGGGAGAGGTACAAGGAGTACCAAAAAGAGTTCCCACATCATGGAATTCCTACCTATCAAGTGATACAAATCTTCTATGGAGGCTTGAGTGCCCAAGGCAAGTCATGCCTAGATTGAGAAGCCGTAGGTCCTATAATGAATAGGACGGAAAAAGAGGTAGTTAACATAATTGAGGATGTGGTGAGATACTATAGAGATTGTCAAGAGGGAGAGAGGGAGTCTACGAGCAAGAGTGGCTCGACGGTTTATTCGGTGGATCATCTCAACGCGATTAACAACTTGTCCTCCCAAGTTTCAAATCTAGGGAAGGAAGTGACATCGATCAAAGAAAAGCTTGCGAGTGTTTCTACAAATTCATTGAGTCTTCCTTCCCAATCCAAAGGGAGAGGTACCACTACAAGAAAAAGTAGATTGGGCGACAAAAGAACTCGTTGCCCAAAGACCGATATTCGTCGACCAAATATTTGTGCAACAAAGTTGAACTCGTCGTGGGGTCGTCACACAAGGGTCGGCGCCCTTTCTACTTTGTGAGACGAATTGTGTTATCGTTGCCCATAGTTGTGTTTGGGCGTCAAATACTTTCGTTGCCGTTGATCAGTTTTGTGCAACAAGCTAATATTTTGTTGCCCAAAATTTGTTTTTGGCGTCAAGTATATTCGTTATCCAATCTGTTTTGTACTTTTGTGCATCAAATATTAATCTTTTGTCACCCAAAGCGGCTAACACTCAACTTGTTGTGGTTTTGGGCATTGTTTGATTCATCACCCAATGTCAAATTTCGGCCAACAAAGTCCATATTCGTCGCCATCTATATAAAAACTTGTATAAGAGTATACTAATCCTATATGTATATCTTTCAAGGTGCAACAATTACTTACAAAATATCATTAAAGAATTAAAATTTTACAAATATGAATTGTACTGTAGTTAATAACAAATTATCTATAATTCACAAAAATAGTAAATTCATATTCCTCATTGGTAATCTTAAATTTGCATTGCTAAAAAAATCCTCATTTCTAATAACTAAAGTACAATTAAAAAAATCTTCAATCATCTCTCTATTCCTTGTCCTTCATCGTTAATCATTTGAAGTAGTATGGGTCCATATGCAATCAACATCCACCTATAAAACATAATGAGCAGAATTAAATTAAAATTAAGAACAAAAACATGTTGATAATAAGAAATCAAAAGAATAACTAGTTGAGAAATATATTATATATACTTATTTTATAACCAAAGTTTTGGCTATTGTTTATAAGAAAAAGGTTACAAAAATTAGAAGATGACTCATACAATGGGTATTTGCTAGAACGTAGTATATTTAGAAAGTAGAAAATGTTTATGTTTAAATATTATCGAATAAACATGCTGGTAACAGTTTAAAGAGATAAAACTTTCAATAGTTTATCCTGCTATATCCTAATCCTAGTACAATTCCACATGAATAAAGTCAAGATTAATCAATCAAAAGGCACAAATTTAAAAATTAAAAATACTTTTAATTACAAGATAATGATATAAAGTGAGAATTTGAGAGCAAGAATTACTTTACCTGCTAATTGCTAGTATATATTGATGGGTTGATATTTTGCGAATTGAAGTAAACTAATTCAATGCATAAATCATCCTGTAATAAAAAATCCAACATCACTGTGAAAGTTACCAAAGATTTGGAAACATGGATTAAAGTAAAACAAAAAAGTGTTATAGGACTGAATTTTGATTAATTAAAATAAATTATAATAATAAAAACAAGATGAAACGAACCAGATTTATTAAGCCCTGGCCTTGAACTAGTAAACAGTTGGGTCGTCACAATTTAAAGGAGAGCGAAAATTGAGAACTCGGCTAGGGTAGGTGGTGGTCGAGGAGGCGAGACTTGGATGTTTTGTGAGCATCCACTACTCCGGCCCCATTCCTTGCACGTCACCGTCAATAAGATTAAAGATGAACATGGAAAGGAAGGAGAAAAATAAAGATGAGGAAACAAGGTTAGGGTTCTAGTGGGAAAGGAGATATGGGATGTCTTTTGGGACTTCAACTAAATTTTTGTTATATATTCACAAAATTTCAGTGGTTTGAAATTCGAAATTTCACCAGCGAGCCAAACCCAAAAAAATTCCGCCTTTTATTTTCCAGTGTATTGGGCAACACATTCAACTATTTGTTGTCCTTGGTCTCTATTTCGGCTAACCAATGTTAAACCATTGTTGCAAATTATAACATTTTAGGCAACGAAATAAATCTTTGTTGCCTAAAACTGCTTTGGGCAAAAACAATACTAGCTCGTTGCCCTATATCTTAACTTGGGAACAAATCTATCTATTCGTCGCCCAATAGTAGTAATGGGCAACAAACAAATATTCGTTGCCCAAACTACGAGATAAGGGCAGCGAAATTTAATCTCGTTGCACATACACATTTTTGTCGTTGCGCAAAATCAATTTTCTTGTAGTGTACACTTTCTAACTCTTCTCCTTCTACTTCCAATAACATGCCAAGTGGTTGTCTATTTGGTGATTCTTGTGGATCTTATGATCATGATTCTTCCATGTGTTCTCAAACTTTTGTTGATGGATGTGATGATGTTGAAATTAATGAATGTGAACATGTGAACTTTGTGTATAATGCCTATGGTGGTTAAAGGTTTGATGGACCTAAGAATTTTGGCAATAGGAATTCTCACCCCCAAGGTGGTTTCGATAACTACAACAATGGAGGCTATAGGAATCAAGGAAACCAAGGTTTCCGAGGTAACTATAACAACTAAGGTTATAGTAATCAAAACCCAAGCCATGGGTATGGAAACCAAAGTCAATCTCAAGGCTTTGGTAACCATTACCATAATGGTGGCAATAGTCAAGGACGAGGCAATTGGAACAACCAAAATGGGGGAAGTTTTCAAAATCACAACCAAAGGGGACCCCACCCGGTTTTGCTCCAAAGCCTCAAGCCAATGGTGAAAATTCTTATTCCCAACCATCATCATTTAAGACAAATTTGGAAGAAATGATTGATAACCAAACCAAGATCATCAACACATATATGGCGGTGAGTGACAAGAAATTTAATGCGATGATGACTCATAACAAAATGCTTGAGACACAAATAACCCAACTAGCCAACACTCTAAAGGATTGTGCTAGTCCATCCTCTTTGCCTTCTCAAGGAGTGGAACCTAAGAAACCCGTGTATTCTATCACCACTAGGAGTGGGAGAGTTCTTAATGAGGGAGTTTCAAGGTCCATTGAGGAGGATGAGGAGAGGAGTGACCCAAGAGAGGAAGTAGAGAAGGTTGTGTCTAAGAGTGTGAGTTATGAGGAGGTGCAAGAGAAAAAGAGGAGTAGTGAGAAAGAGCGTGAGGAAGTGTGGAGACCCGACCTTCCATACCCAAAAAAATTCTTGAGGCACAAAATTGATGAGCAATTTGGAAAATTTCTTGCTATGCTCAAGGAAGTTCACCTTTCTATCCCCTTCACCGATGCAATTACCCAAATGCCTAGGTACTCTAAGTTCCTTAAGGAGATTTTGAGCAGGAAGAGAATGTGTAATGAGGTTGATTTGATTGATGTTGGGAGTTGTTGTAGTGCTTTCATTCATAATGAGTTGCCCAAGAAAATGGAGGATCCGGGTAATTTCTCTATGAAAGGAATGGTGTCCTTCAAACAAGTGTATTATTCTGATAGCGGGTTCAGAATTATTAGAAAGCTAATATATTCAGCAAGCTCAAGTGATCGGAATGCCTGGGTGGAGGCCACTTCCGATCAGTAATATTAATATATAATTAATATTACAGCTTAATCTTGACCGAACCATTCGGGTCACACCTTAGCAAATATACGAACCAACTCGACGAATTAATTCGTCGCCCGAGTGTTAAATATTTAGACGTCGGAAATTCGAGCTCGGAGCGTCGAAATAGAGCGTTGGAGAATCTCAAATGTCGAGCCAAAATTTAGGATTTGGCGAGACGGGAAAATGCATCAAGTAACAAGTAAAATCCTAGCCACGCAAAAGGTTAGGAAAGCGCGCCCAATAGGTGCGTGCCACGTGGCAGCACACATGGCAGCCACGTTGGCATACGCCAAGTGGCAGCCACCTAGTGGCAGGCGCCATGTGGCAGCACACGTGGCAGCCGCCAAGTGGCAACGCACCATGGTTGCAGCATGTGTGGCAAGAGGCAGTGGAACCGGGTTACGGGTCATGGACATGGGCCAAAATAAAATTGCCCAACCGAACCCAACTTGGGGCTCAAGGTTGGGTGACACATGGTTAGTTCACATTGCATGTGAATTGCCTTGGGGAGCAAGTAGGAAAGTGGTCCTCACCTAACCATGTGACACTTGTTACTTATTCCTTGGTTTATTTAACTAAGGATTGAATTCATCAATCTTTCCATATGGGATCTTTTTTTGAAAAAGTCCCACATTGAAAGATGAGTGGAATTCACAAGCTATCCTTCCTTATAAATAGCCAAAGCACGGCTTGAGAATTCATTACTTGAGTGTGAGTTGAAAAAGGCATCACCATTGTGAAAACCTTTGAACTCATTTAATCACTCGGGTTTTGGTCAGACCTTGCTAACTCCAAGGTAGTGGACCTAAAAAGTCAATGTTCATCCTTTGTGGGTGGATACTGTTGGAGGCTCTCGTGTAAGCGGAGCTAAAGCTTTCAAGTAAGAGCCCATTAGGTTGGGCGTAGCACGTGTCAAAAGTAAACTACGATTCTACCCTTTTTTGTTTATTTGTTATGCTTTATGGTTTTATCAACTGCGAGTGGTTCTTTGGGTCGGGGTCATTTCCGCGGTAAGTTGGACTTACCAAACCCCAACACTGTATTCCATGTGAGATCAAGGGAAAAAATGTTTGATAATGCTTTTTGTGATCTTGGAGCTAGTGTGAGCGTCATGCCTTATTCCATTTTCAAGAAACTCCAGCTAGGTGAGCTCCTCCCATCTAACATAACCCTTCAATTGGCCGATCGGACTATTATGATTCCAAAGGGGAGAGTTGAGGATGTTCCTCTTAAGATAGGAGGGTTCACTATTCCCGTTGATTTCATTGTGCTTGAGATTGCGGAAGATGACCATATCCCTATCATTTTAGGAAGACCTTTCTTAGCCTCTTTGGGAGCCTTAATAGAGGTGAAAGGAGGCCGTATTACCTTGAGAGTTGTTAAGAAAGAGGAAAGCTTTTATTTGAAACCAATGCATGAGTCTTTGTCTCTTGTGCAAGGAATTATGTGTGCTAATTCCCCTCGCACTATTGATAATGTGTGCATGATTAATTCTTCAACTAACGATGTTCTTGAGAATTGTGATGATGCTTTTTCAAGTTTTGATGGCAAGAAGGTTAGTGAAGAGAAAATGATGATTCCCAAGCTTATGGACGAGGAGGAAGTTGAAATTCCTCATTGGTTTGAGCTCTATCCTCAAGATGAAGGGGATGTTTCCATGAGTATGGATGGTGAGGAAGCATCTACAATGAACAACAAGACAAAGAAAAAAGCTCGTGATTCTAAGAAGAAGAGAGAGAGAAAAAAGTTACGGAAAGAAAAATTTGCAATCGAAAAGTTTTTGAAGGAAGTTTCATCAAGCAACAACAAGAGTTTGCTAGAAGTTGAAGAGGAATATATTCTTTCCACTACCTTGAAGAAGGTGGTGTTCTTTGACCCTCCATGATTTGGAGGAAGGGTCAAGCTTAGGACCATAAGCAAGCGCTTCCCGCGAGGCAACCCGGAGATTTCTAACTTTTCTTTTTGATTTTTGAATTTTTCTTATTTTTCCTTCTTTTAGTTTCGTTTCTTTCACTTTTCTACTTGTTTGGATTTTTAGGTTGCATTTTTCGGATTGGATTTCATTAAGTGAGCATGAGGAATGAGAAGGTGTTTGCGGTTTTTGATGTGATTATATTCGATATCATCGGAATTTGAGGTAAAAGGGTAAGAGTTTTAGTGAAGTAAGATAGGGAATTTTGTGCTTTAAAGTTGAAGGAATTTTTCTCTTGGTGGGTTCATGTGGTGCTACCATTATTTTGGGATTTTGAACCCACTAACATCTTGATTTGAATCTGCCTCTTCCAGTAGGTTCAATAGCCTAAATGTTGATCTTGATCGATAAACCCACCGATGAACGCACCAAGAAGTAAAAAAAAAAAAGTAGAAGAATCAGGCTAGGCAGGTGCGGGCGCGCACGTGCCTGGTGCGGCCGCGCACTTGGCTGGTGCGGGCGCGCATCAACCCTTGCCCCCTTATCTTCCTTCCTTTCTTCTTTCATTTCCCCTTATTCCTCCTTCATAGCTTTGACCCCATCATCCTCAAACCCTCAAAACCGCACTACATGCTTCAATAACTCATAAAATTTCAACCCAAATCACTTAAATTTTCACTCCAAATTCACTAAAACTTCTAAATTTTCATCCAAATCATCAAATTCATACTACTTTCACCAAATTAAACCTCCAATCTCTCTCCTCCATACTTGGGTATAATTTGGGGTTCAATTTGGTGGAAATTGGTGGCTAAAAGTAGTTCAATCTTGCTTCATATATGGTATAATCATCTTCTCTAGCTTTTAATTGCTTAATTATGTCATATATTTGCAAGTTTTGATTTGTTCATGAGCATGAATAGTGGTAGTATCAACTTTGATGATTTTGATGATTGATATTGGTTTTTGGATGATTATTTGAGTTGTTTGTTGTTTGATTTCACCTCATATCTTGTTGCTTGTTGATTTTGTAACATTTGTGAGCAATGTTGTTTAGAAATTTGGAATTTGAATTTTGGTAGTTTTGGTAGTAAGGTGATATTGTGGTATTGTTGGTTGTTCTTGTGATTGTTGATTGTGTGGGAAGAAATTGTTGGTTATTTGGTGTTGTTTGGTAATTTGGATTGGAGTTGTGATTGGTGGATATTGAAGTTCTTGGTTGGTGAATTTTGCGGATTTTTGTTGGAAATTTTGTAATTGGTTTTTTGTGATCCTTGCACTTGAAGTTCATCATGTCGAAGGTCCTCAAAA